GTAAGCTAGTGGTCACTGCTGCAGTGGTCCCTATTGTTACACTCAGACCAGTGATTCTAGCACTGGTAAGCTAGTGGTCACTGCTGAAGTGGTCCACTATTGTTACACTCAGACCAGTGATTCTAGCACTGGTAAGCTAGTGGTCACTGCTACAGTGGTCCACTATTGTTACACTCAGACCAGTGATTCTAGCACTGGTAAGCTAGTGGTCACTGCGCAGTGGTCCACTATTGTTACACTCAGACCAGTGATTCTAGCACTGGTGAGCTAGTGGTCACTGCTGCAGTGGTCCACTATTGTTACACTCAGACCAGTGATTCTAGCACTGTAAGCTAGTGGTCACTGCTGCAGTGGTCCACTATTCTTACACTCAGACCAGTGATTCTAGCACTGGTAAGCTAGTGGTCACTGCTGCAGTGGTCCACTATGTTATCACTCAGACCAGTGATTCTAGCACTGGTAAGCTAGTGGTCACTGCTGGCAGTGGTCCACTATTGTTACACTCCAGACCAGTGATTCTAGCACTGGTAAGCTAGTGGTCACGCTACAGTGGTCCACTATTGTTAACTCAGACCAGTGATCTAGCACTGGTAAGCTAGTGGTCACTGCTGCAGTGGTCCACTATTGTTACACTCAGACCAGTGATTCTAGCACTGGTAAGCTAGTGTCACTTGCTGCAGTGGTCCACTATCTTACCACCAACCATGATTCTGACTGGAGTAGAGGTCACTGCTGAGTGGTCCACTATCATACATGCTCAGCCGGATCGCATTTTGGAAGCAGGATGTACGTCCAAATAATTGTTAGAGACAATTTAATTGGTAACATTCATCTAAGGTGAATGGAATGCGGGAAATTAGCTGGTAAGCAGTGGTGGGGGCATATATTAGACTCAGAGTAAATTAGATGGTGAAAGTGGTGTAAACACTGGGATCGGTCACTCACTGTCACTCGCAACTGTATTCCTCAGTACTTACACATGCACACACAGCACACACACAATATTACACCAGTAATACACACTAATATCATGCTATTACACACAGTTATACCACACCATACACTACACTACACTATCACAGCCAGTCCACATTACACCACACCAGATCACACTGGTAGATAACAGCTGCACGGCACATGGTAGATGACCATATTAGCGTATCAGTGGCACGCAGGGCCAGAGCTCGTAACTCGACCCGGTCAACACTAACTAGGTGGTACACACACATCACACAACACATCACACCATATTCACACGGAACATGGTCACTGCCATGGTCACACATTACACCACATCATACACACACACACTATCACTCACATCCACATACACCACACCAATCAGCACACAACTACACACGCACATCACTACATCAACAACACACGGAGCATTCACACTCATCACCACTAGATACACACAACATACTACACAACACACACTACATCCACATTACACAACACACACACACACACTATTCACTACATCACTAGTACACATCACGACATACTAGCACTACATCACCTCATGATCCACCATGCACTCAGGGCCAGGTAGCATTCGAATCACCGCTCAAGCCACAAATAGTATACATAACACATATCTCTTACACTCATACGCACTTGCTATTACAACACCTCAAGTTCACGCTCAACTCCCTATTACACTCAGCACCTTCTCCCACTGAACTCACACGCGTGCCCCACTACACTCAACCTCCCACCACTACACTCACACTGTCCCCACTTGTACACTCAACCTTCCGCACTACATCTCACACCTCCACCACTAGACACTCACACCTCCCCCACTACACTAACACATCTCTGCCCACATTTACACTCAGACCTCATCCCACTACACTTTCACACCTCCCCACTACACTCAGACATTCCCATATACGACTATTCCTGCAAGTGTCACTTTATTTCTATTTAACGCATATTAGAAAAGTCGCTAGTGCACTATGCTAAATAAAATTTTGTAGTAGACTGACCTGACAGAGTCCACTATTGTTACACTCAGACCAGTGATTCTAGCACTGGTAAGCTAGTGGTCACTGCTGCAGTGGTCCACTATTGTTACACTCAGACCAGTGATTCTAGCACTGGTAAGCTAGTGGTCACTGCTACAGTGGTCCACTATTGTTACACTCAGACCAGTGATTCTAGCACTGGTAAGCTAGTGGTCACTGCTACAGTGGTCCACTATTGTTACACTCAGACCAGTGA